GGCTCGAATTCACAAACTGTGAGATCATGACCTGAGCCGAAGTGGGAGGCTTAACCAGCTGAGCCACTCAGGCGCCCCACGAATATACTTAAAGCTCTACATTCAGTTAATGGCTAGAACCGGTTACTGAATGGACAGACCAAGGCAGTAGTTGCGGTATGGGCCGCTCGCTCCACCCTGTGGCCGCCTGTGCACATTGCTACTTTGGCTCGTCGTTCGCTTTCCACAACCTGCCAGACCTGGTAAGAGACCTCAAGGCTTCCCCAGAGCCGACAGGGGCAAGAAATGAGCTCTGAGTGGGTCGGCGGCAGCGGCGGCGAACAGGTGGCGGAGAGCACGGAGTCGCGCGTGTCCGATTCGTCCCGGTACCCAGAAGAGCACCCAACTCATGGGCGGTCCCCCAAAGGCCAAGTACTTGTTTGCTCTGGGCTGGTACCTGCAAGAACCGGATTCCCGCCTGGGCCCGGTCGTCAGCGGCAGGAAGTACCGCGGCACACCAGACGGCGGGGGTTGCGGGGCGGCTTCCTGGAACTGAGTAGCTGAAAAATTCCTCCGGGGCCGCGGCGACCCGCCCGCTCACGGACTTGGCGTGGCGCCACCCCGCGGAGAGGAGGACTTGGGAGACCGCGGGAAGGGGCGGGCGTTGACCTGCCCGGAGACCCAAGAATCCAGGTGGCTGGAGCAGATGGCTACCGGGAAGGAGCAGGTGGGGAGCCAATGAATGACCGCCGTTCAGTCAAACACAGATGACTTTCCCAGCAGAGCCAGGAAGGGAGCCTGGGCTGGCAGAACCCACTGGGCGGTGGGCAGTGAGCCCCCAGGTTCTTCAAGGGCTCCTCTGAAATGCATTCGGCAACCACGGGGCTTCACCCAAAGGCCTTTTCTGTCCTGGATCACTAGAGCTTCCAGGACGGAGAACACTGGAGGAGATTGATGCAGCCGGCAGGGAGGAGGGTGGCAGGTGTTGCGGAAGGGAGGGAAGGTGTTCTTTCATCCATCTCAGACTCAGCAGGGACAATACCCAAGGGTCTGCTGGACCTTCCAAGTCTTCCACCCAAGAAGCTCTGGGGCACATCCTATGATCCCCAGGGTTTACAGAGCTAAGTAGGACACCCCAGAGGAGACAGTTATGGAGCAGAGCAGGCAACTAACTGGTTGTGAGGAGGGTGGGTCAGTTGGAGGTCGTTTTTCATCTTCCAGGTTCCATAAGGAAAGCCCTAAACTTATTTGAGCTTCTACAGTTCAGGCCCATTCCAGAACACTCAGAGTGTTCCTAGCTTGAGAGGAATCCCTAAAGTGGA